TATATATATATATATATATATATATATATATATATATATATATATATATATATATATATATATATATATATATATATATTATATATATATATATATATATATATATATATATATATATATATGTATATGGACATTTTCGTTGGAGTTTATTCATTTCTCTAGCATCATCTTAATCGAAAGTGTTTGTGAGCATAATTAAAACACATTTTCGACTAATACAAAAAATTTTTGAAGTGTAATTCGTCTATTTTTTAAAGATTTGATGTAAAATTATTATCTTCATATTATTTTATATTTTTATTTATATTTCTTTTACATTTTAATTAAATAATATTTGTACCAAAAGAGCCATATATTCTTTATATTATTATAGATGGCAGTGAGTATGCTGAAGAAGACGTTACCTTTCCATCGAACAGTTGACTTGACATCTTCAAGAGTAATATTCTTTTCAAACAACTTTTAAATTTTATCTAACAAAAGCACTATATTTGAAAGAATTAATTGCAATTAGTAATTAAAATTATTTATCTAAACATCTTGATCATAGAATTGTATAATTCTACAAAATTAAATAACAATTTACTTTATTAGATAAACAATTGCTTTCCTTTAAGTTATGTTATGATCTAGAGTACTTGTACATAATTATATATTGTTTCTTTAACAAAAATATTATTAGTGTACTATAAATAGATTCATAAATAATTTGATTCATAAATAATTTTTTTTACTGTTAATGATCTTAATATATCTGTTATTTTAGAATGGTGCAAAAATTATATTCTCCACCGGTGATCACTATGGCGTGGCAGACAATATGCTTAAGGTAATATATATGTATATGTATATATGTAATAATTATTTCAAATAGTAATTATATAAATTCATGAAATAATTTATTATAAATTATTTAAACAATAAATAAAAACTCACAATTCTTCCAATATTGTAAAAATTATAAAATATTTGATAACATATTTGATAAACAAAATCTTAAATTCAGAAAATAATTACCCTGTACAAAAGGTGCAAAATTTGTATAGGGAAAATGAAATTACAGTTTAGAAATTATATATTTTATATTAGTTATATTAGTTTTATATATATACAATTTGCATATGCTAACAAATACAGTCATTGATTTTTCATTTCAGAGGGAAGAAATTACATCGAATTTATCGGTAGACGGATGGCAACTCAATGCAGAAACTCGAAAAAATAATTATGTGATTATAAAATTAGCAACTTCGGCTATAATAAAATACATTTGCATAGATACTACTCACATTAAACAACACAATCTGTACTGTCCTTTTTCATTACAAGCTGGACATTTAGGTTTGTTTAAGATTACGTGCTTTTAAACCTCTGTTTTTAGAAACTCTATTAATCTATAACGTTAAATAATATATGTTAATTATTAAATTGTCACACAGAATCTTTCTTCAGTCAAGATCGGAAATGTCGAATCGGTAAAAGTGCTAGTCTAGAAGATCTTAAATATTTTGAATCGTTCGATACGAAGGTAAGTATCTAAAAAATACAATATTACGTATCATATGATCTGCATCAATACTTAATACTTCTTTGGTAAATTCATTTACTTTTAATATAACATGACTTAAAAGTTGATCTCTATATTTTAATTAAAAATAAAATAAAAAGAATACATTTCTAATATATTTTTATAACACACTTTTATAATATAATACAATATTTTACACAATCACTACAATCTCCATTATAATTTATTTTTATAATTTAAAGTTCTTGTAGTCTTGTATTTTTATAATTTATTTTGAAGAAATAGCTCTTTTTAAAAAAAGTAATATCAAAATTTTAATTTCAAAAACTTTATTTAACTTAATTACGATTATATATAAATTATATTAAATAATTAATAACTGTAAAATACAATTTCAGTCCTGGCCATTTTATCTTAAAAAGACTCAGCTGCCATCACCAGAGATGAGTAAACAATATTATAATATAGAATCGAATAACGATATTGTTACTCATGTAAAATTAACTCTCTGCCCAATGGGTGGTATCGCTAGATTATACATATATGGTTTTGCCGTCTATCCGCCATTAATAACATTAAGTCCGCAATTTAATCTTGTCTCCTTGCTTTATGGTGCGCATTGTGTAAATTCCACTCACTGCTTCTCTGGAGATCCTAATCTTTTGCTTCTACCTACTCCACCCCTTCATAAGAACGATGGATGGATGCCTCTAGATCCTAAGGAAGAAGTACGTAAAATAATTCTTCTAATTAAAATTGTAATCAATTTCAAAATTTTTCTTTTTGTATAATGTGCACTAATTTTAATATTTTTGTAGAGAGTTGAATAGAGTTGTAGAGTTGAATAGAGAGAATAAGCCTTTCTTTCAAACATGTTCTTTTTAATTATTTTTTTATATATACGGACATTAAAAATCATAAAATAATTATTATTCATTTTAGGTTAAAGAATTCATGTTTCAACGCCCAGCTGTTGACTTTCGTTTGGCATATCCTGTTAAAAACCTCTCTTATGTTATAATTGATACAACAAATATAGATGAAATATGTTCAGATTTTACCATACAAGTGTATGGACGATCAAGTACACAATACAGAACATTCTATCCTCTTGTACCAAAAACGCAGGTAAAGTTTTATCTGATCTTTATATTTTTACTGCAATTCATTGTTTATTTTTATTTAATCTATTATTGACATAAATTATTTATACACTTTAATTAATATAAATATTTTTTGAAATATGAATGACTTCTACATGAAAAATTTATTGTTGAGACATTGATATAAGCAAAAATTAATTAAGAAGATATGTTTTACAATTTGTATAATTTTTCTATAGGTAGTAAAGAATTCCAGGCAAATTATACCTGTAACGGAAAATAAAGACTGGAGGACACTTTTTGTAGAACTAATAGTTTCTCCTGGTGGTGCTATAAATAGATTTGCAATTTTTGGAGAAAGTGAACTACCTGATGAATTCTAAAATTATCTTAAAGAAATAAGGAGTATTATTCAATGATTTGCTAAAATTTCTTTTAATGTAATATCAAGCTCTTATGTAGGAAGATATCGATTAATTTTTGTCTACAAATATTATTAAGAAATAAATTAATGAACATTATTAGAAACAGATTATTTTCAATATAATAATAAAATAAAAATAATTCAAATAATACAAATTAAAAATATTTCTTTATATATGCTTTTTATCAATTAATGACTTATTCATTACTGTGAATAAATTTTGCTAAAAGAAAATTTTTTATCGCACAAAAAAAATTTATATAACTTTTCAAATATTTTTTATTATTTTTAAAAATAAAAACAATATAACATGTAATAAAAAATATCTAATTAGCACAATTATATTCGACGTGTTTTACTTTTTTTTCCTTTTCTTTTATTTTGTTCCTGCACAAAAACTTTTTCATTAAATTTTGATATGAAATATAAGATTATAAACAAATTTATTTTAAATTGATCTTCTACTATAAGATCTTATTTTGATACAATTATTTTCGTTGCTTTATTTCCTGTTAAGACATTCATCATGTCTTTAATCAAATAATTGGTGTCATATCAAAGACTTTTAGTCAATCTCAGTTTAGAGAGAGTTCTATAAATCGAAAAATAACACTTTGGAAAAGATAGAATCAATATAAGCATTGTTGCAAGGCACAGAAATTATTTATCATATCTCAGAACATTAATAAAATTGTCCGTAAAATATTCATAATATTACGCAGTCTGGTGCTAAGCTGCTTGCTGATGATGTTAATTTATTGAAGAGGAGACAATGTTTCGTTATGTAAATGCAATCAATATGAACGCTAATCAAAATAATTAGTGTGATTGATAAAATGCTAAATATTAGCCGAGAATCATCAGAAATAAATATACTATTTGTAGAAATTAATTCTAAATTTATTTAATTATAGAGTTATGTAATTTTTAATATCTAAGCTGACGACGAAACTATTACTATTATTATTAAAAACTGTCAATTTCACAATTAGTCAAATTTTCCGTGACTATCGATAGAGTCTGAGGAGGCCCATAATAATTTAAAAATTTAATTTAAATTTAATTTCAATTTAATTTAAAAATTGATATTATTCGATTGATTATTTATAATACAATAATTCATAAATAAGTATAAATAATAAATAAATATGTGAGTGAATGAGTGAGTGAGTGAGTGAGTGAGTGAGTGAGTGAGTGAGTGAGTGAGTGAGTGAGTGAGTGTGTGTGTGTGTGTGTGTGTGTGTGTGTGTGTGTGTGTGTGTGTGTGTGTGTATAATCATAAAATTACAATTTTTTTCTATAGTTATCACCTTTGTAAATAATTTAAGACAGATAGTAAATATAAAAATTTAATTTTAAATAAAATTAAATTTATGCGAGTTATAATAAATATATATATTTATCTAAAAAATATCGCATAATACAGCATAATAATAAATTAATATTATATTAAGAGTTAATTGTTCAAATTTTAACTATCATGAGGGATTACGCGAATTCTTATAAGATCGTTGATCTTTAATAGTATCTTGTTGGTGAATACAATATGTCTATTTTCTATGATTAAGAAAAATGGAGGATTTTTTGAAGATTCTATAACTAAAGAGACTTATGAAAACGTCTAGAAAGTAGTTTATTATTAATTAGACTGCCACATGGGATTATTTCTAATGTAAGTCTTTCTGTATATTTATCTTTTACATATGTACGTTATTGACTAAAATATATTTATAATTAAATAGAATTATGTTTTATGTGAAAAATTGTTTATTGAGATAATCTCTTCGAGTTTTGTCACTAATATTTTAGAGTGATAACAATAATTACTCTAAAAGAGAGGATTGTCACTCTAATTTGAACATGGGTATTCAGCTAAAAGTGAATTTTTCACGCAAATATTTCGAGTTATAATATTTCATTCTGGCTAAAAATAGATCATAACTTACTCTATATCAACTAAGAAATAATTTTAACAAAGTGAAATTTTTCACTCTATAGTGTAAAGTGGCATAATTCACTCTTAAAGCTGAACTTGTCTGTATTATCGACAAAACGCAGTAATTTTTATATTGCTCTTATTTTTTATTAACTTTATAGATCTGGAAATTCTTTTCCATAATTAAAGTTTATGTATTAATATGTGTTTAACATATTTCGTATCAGAAACGACAAAAAATTTTAAAATTTAGATCTTTTTTACCATTTGGTATCTTAAAATAGCATCCAAAGTTGTCAAGTCGCGTAAATATTTGCTTTATATGAAATTTTTATAACCTGTACCTACAAAACTGCTAATATTGCTAGACTAGAAGGTTACATGAAAAAGCAAGTTGAGTTCTTAGAATTAGGCTTAGACACTTATTATGATTAGAGGAGTATCACAAAAATTTGTTCATGTATCATGTGTATCATGTGTACAGAAATGTATGCCCTAATAGCACTCGTCTAACGTTCTACGGAATATAAATATATTCACGATATTCTCCGAACATTCGAAATACGTACTGCGATATACTGTGGAATGTATTTAGATCATTACTATCGCTCACTAACCTAATCCTTAGTATGTACTAAAGAATATCCCACAGTATGACCATAAGATGAAAATGGTTTAAAAATAGCCTACACTGATAATTGCAAAGATATTTTGGCAATGTATTTTGGCAAAATATTTTATGCCCGTAGCAATATTCGTAGCAATATTCTGAAGACATTCTGTAACATTCTAGAAACATGCTCTGATGATGATCTTAGAAAAATTCTATAATATTCTGGAAGCGTTCTATAATATTCTGGTTATGATCTCAAAGATGTTCTGATGATGTCAATAAAGTATGAATCTCATCTACGCATCAGCTTGTAAAACATATAGTGCAGAGACATATAGACATATAGACATACATGTATATATTTTATGTATATATGTCTCTGTATATATTTTAGAAGCTAATGCGTAGGTGAGACACACACTTTGTTGACATCGCCAGAATGTTTCTAAGATCATAATCAGAATATTAAAGAATGTGTGTGTGTGTGTGTGTGTGTGTGTGTGTGTGTGTATGTGTATGCGTATATGTATGTATATATATATATATATATGAGTGATTAATATAAGTGATCAGTTTGATCAGTATCAATAATGCCTTCTAAAGATATATAATTTGATATTGTCGAAAATTAGTAATATAAAAATCAACCAGAAGGAGCTTTGAAGAAAGTTCAACAAATTGCAGCATTATCTACCTATCTATGCTAGCTGCTACGCAAGTTTTATTGTATCCCATCATGTGTTCTCCACTTAAGAATCGTCCCCGATGCAGATATGTTGAACTTGAACATGTCTTTTGCGGAAAAAATCTTCTAATCCAGAAAATCGTAATATCAAGAGATAATCGTATAAAATCAAAAACAGTGGCTCTCGCAGATGTACACCAGCACAAGAATTTCGCTTGTAATATTGATAATAATTGTTATTCTTTTTTGTCTAAGCGAACACCATTAAAACTAATGGGTGAGACAAAGAAAATCAACAACAAAGATTTGTTGTTGATTTTCTATTTATGCATAAAGAAATTCTCGTAAAACTCAATTCTTCATCAAGAGTCGTCAGCAAAATACAAATGAATTCTCTTTTCTTCACTTGTAACACAAGTCTGTGATATAACAACAAAATTTCTTAAAAATATATTAGAAAATAATTTAAAGCCTTAGAAAAAATTAAGTAAATCACTTAACTAAAATAACTAAGTTATACAATAATCATCAATTTGGCCTATCACCTTCTTTAGCACAAAATGTATTACCAAAATGTATATGGTGGACTA